AGTAAAAAGCTCTCATATAAAGTCACATCTCAACTCAAATTAAAAACTCAAATCAGCAAATTAAAAAGCTCTCGTATATAACTTCATTTCTATTCAAAACGTGCTGTTTCAAGTTGGCATTTGTTTGCGGACTCCGGTTGTTATTAAAAATAAGTTAAAAAGAAGCGTTTTAGCCTATCAAAGTTTGACACGTGCCACGAGATAGAAAAATAAAAATGCTCGTGAAGCCAGCACAAAAGGAGTTTCAGCCCTCATTGATGCCTCGTCTAGGGTTTCAAGGGTTTCGATACCTTTTACAATAATAATTGAAGCAAAAAGCCAAAACATAAATTGACACACACGTTAATTTAAAACGTGTTTCACCTCTCATATCTCGAACACTCTACTAGCGTGGGCACGTAGGCTATCGCACATTATGAGGAATTATTTAGTACACTGAGTGTATCATGTCATTTTATTTATGTGGTATACATGTCCAATGAGATTGTGCTATTGGTACACCTGTCTAATGAGATTATACAACTTAAACATTTTGTCTATGTTAGCTTTTCACATTTATAAAATGAAAAGCTGACATAAACAAAATGTACCATTTAGTGAAAAACTGATATAGATAAAATATCTAAATGGTACAATCTCATTAAACGGATGTACCACATAAACAATATGACGTGGTACATCCAGTGTACTGAATAATTCCTCCGCACATTATTTACCCTCCACTAGTCCATTTTGTGGGATTATTACTCTTCTACTATTAAATGTTATTACAAAGCAAAGACCAATTACTAAACGCTGGCTTGTCCAACATTCATAAGAGCCTAATTTTCTGATCATCTCCTATAATACCATTCAACCTCTTCTGTATCCTTTCTCATACTACAATGTCTACCTTAAACAGCGAAAACATAGATGATCCCAACAAATATGAATATCCCAATTGGTATTCACCGGAAACCGGGATCTACAATAGCACACATCCACCGAGAAACCTGCCTTCAGACACATTTCTTGATGTCGTTTCCTTCCTTTTCTCATGCCAACACAAAGGGGTCTCAGCCCTTATCGATGCCTCATCCGGGGTTTCAATACCTTACTCGGAGCTCTACTCTTCGGTCAAATCCATGGCCTCCGGCCTCCATTCGACGGGCGTCACGAAAGGCGACGTCGTTCTGGTTATGCTTCCGAACTCCATTTACTTTCCTGTCGTTCTTTTGGGAGTGTTGCACTCGGGAGCCATTTTCACTCCCATGAATCCTCTAAGCAGCGTCACGGAAATCGAGAAACGCGTCGCCGATTGCAAGCCTTGTCTTGCCTTCACTGTCCCTGAGAAAGTGGACATCTTTCGGAAACTTGGTGTTGCTGCAATTGGAGTGCCTGATCAAAATGTGAGCCTTGGTGATTTTTTGGACTTTTCAAAGCTTATTTCTAGTGACTATAACTTGGCTTCGAGGCCATTAATTATGCAAGAAGATACGGCGGCAATAATGTATTCTTCTGGAACCACGGGTTTGAGCAAAGGCGTCGTATTGAGTCATGGAAATTTTATAGCCATGATCGAGCTTTTTGTGCGGTTTGAGGCCTCGCAATACGACTATCCGAGCTCGGAGATCGTTTATTTAGCGGTTCTGCCGATGTTCCATGTTTACGGCCTCGCCTACTTCGCAATGGGGTTGTTTTCTCTTGGTTCCACCGTCGTTGTGATGAGAAAATTTGACATGAATGAGGTGGCGAGGGCCGTAGAAAAATATAGAGTTACACACATTGCTGCTGTTCCGCCGATATTAACGGCCTTGACAAAGGCTGCCAAAAACAATGGTGGGAAAAGCTTTCGAAGCTTGAAGCAGGTTTCATCTGGGGCTGCTCCTCCAAGTAGGAAGATGATTGAAGAACTTGTCCAGGTTTTTCCTCACGTTGATTTCATTCAGGTACAATTTACAAGGGAATATTATTTATTTATTTATGTTTTCAAAGCAACTTTTATTTCTCCATAACCTAGAATGATGCCACCCATATACACATGCATATTCGGTACAATTTACAAGGAATATTATTTTTCTTCAAGCAATATACAGTCCACCATAACCTAGAAAAGATTCTTTTCTTTCCATATATGGACGAGTTTTCATTATATTAATATTCGGTTCATTCAGATACGAAAGGATTGAGATCTTCAACATTTTTTATTATTTATTATGCACATATATCAATTAGCTTAACTTATTCGCTAAAAAAAAAA